CACATCATTTCTCCTTTTTACCTTTTCCTTGCACTCAATTACTTCCTTTCCTTCTTCTCTCCTTAACTACTTTACGCCTTCTTTCCTTCCTCCCGCTTTCCTTCTCTCCTTCTCACCTCCTCCCCCCTCCCTCTCCCACCTCTTCCTCCTTTCTATTTTGTTTCCTCCCTTCCTTGTGCACTCTCTCCTGTCCCTTTCGGGTCCCCTCTTTTTTTCCTCCTCAACATCTTCCTCTCTTCCTCTCTTTTTCTACCTTGCTGCCCCTCCATCTCCTTTACCTCCTTCCACGTTACCCTCCATGCTATATATCCTCCCTCCACCCCTCCCTGTGTCCTTCCCCATTCCCTCCTCCCTCATTCCTCTCTGGTCTTGAAGGAAAGCCAGCCAGCCAGCCATCAGGATGATGTATCCTAGCAACAGCGACCCTCCCGCCCATTCAGTATCAGGATGAACAAATTTTTACTTTTGGATGAAGAGGAGAGAGATTGGAGGAAGTGGAAGGGGGAGGAGGGGTGAGGAAGGGTAATAACCATCATCTGATACCAGAATTATTTAATAGTACACTGCATGCATGTCAGTATCCACCGATTCATTATTCCAAAACAAATACATGTACTACCATGTACATGTTCATAAAGACAAACTGCAACCGGGCGAAGCATTACTGCCGACATTTTACCACGATTGTCGCCTGCCAACATATCGGTTGGCTTGTTTGCTCACTTGACAAATGTATTAAAACTGAACAGAAATCAATGTGATTTTACTTTTACTTGCTCGTGCGTGCCCCCTTCTTCACACAAGGTTCAAAATACGGCCTCTCCTTCAACTACGTAGCCAAGATGGCGACCATCGAGGGTGAGAAGTGTCCAGCATTCCCGATCAGCTGTTCGACCGTAAGGAGTAGTGCACTGCATTTTGCCATACTTGTCGGTGTGCAATTTAACACACCAGCACTGCAATATCCTTAGCAAATATGGCATCCTTAATTAAAAACCTGATGAAATACGTTGATGCCTGCCTTATGTTTAGGATGTTAAATGGCACAGCAACCACCACCTAGCCGTTTTACATTTTAGTATTGCTTATCTGTCTTCTGTTGCTTTGCATGTCTGCATCTACTGAATAGTGGATGTGGTTGTTGTATTGTTACTTCCTGTTGCTCTGCATTGTCTTGTGTCATGCTGATTTGTTGCTCTTTTTGTCATTTTGGTGTCTTATCGTCTTCCGTTTGGATTTCTGAACCTGCAACTTCATTGGGGTTTTAGTACATATTGCTGGGATGTTGTTGGGTCAAACTGAGCTCTATATTGTGTAAAAGTGTGAAATATTGACTCGGAAAGTACCTACATCACAACATTAATCTCAAACTTGTGGGAGACCACAAAACATTGTAAGCCAAACTTTTGTAAGCGGTGAGGCAGTACAGGAAGGAGAGGAGGGATTTCATTAATTTGCTCAAGAGAAATTGAAAGTCATTGAGAACGAACACAGTGCAGCGGTCAGGAAGTCTCTTTCTGTTCCTTTAGAAAACTAAACTTTCATCTTTCTAAACAATATAGTCTGCGACTTACAGCTATATCTTTCTCTGTTTATTTTACAAGCATTACCATGAAACTGAGCTGTGTCTAAAAAGTTTTTTCAATGTTTTTCACACTTTGACTCTTGCTCTCAGTGTGTAGGCATGGCAACTGCAAGCAGTTTCCTCTCTGGCAATCAGTTTTACTGCTGCATCTCTCTGGATGTGCGAACACATCCAGACAGATGCACCAAACCACGTGGACACAACTTCTGCAAGACCTGCGTCACAGAACACTGGGATATCAACGTCCAATGTGCAATAAACATTTTGACAGAAGACCAGAGCCGCACGTCAACACTTTCATATCTGAGACGGCTGAGTCAGGTGTAAAGGAAAGCACCAGGAAAAGTTCTCTGTGACGTCTGCACTGAAACCGGAGCGAAGGCCCTGAAGTCCTGCCTGGTGTGTCTGCTCCCCTACTGTGAGACTCACCTGGAGCCTCATCAGAGAACCGCAGGCCTTAAAAGACGTATGCTGATTGATTCTGTGGAGAACCTGGAAGGCAGGATGTGTAAGAAGCATGAGACCATGGAGATGTTCTATAAGACTGATCAGATGTGCGTGTCGGTTCCGCCGAGTCCTGGGAAGACAGAGGCTAAAATCGAGCAGATGATCCGGGAGAGACGACTGAAGATTGAGGAGCTCAGCCAGGAAGAGGCAAACAGAGAGACAGAAGCCAGTGTGCAGGTATTTGCCAATACGATACAATATGACAAGGATAGCCTAATTATGAGGAGGGTCTGGTCTCCTTTTATGATGTAGATGCCGAAGATCTTATCTCCTCCTTTACTGACTGTAAGTTCAAAGAGAGACTCTATCCGTATTTCAGTCCACGTCTCAATGACGGAGGTAGAAACTCTGCCCCTCTGATTGTCTCTCCAGTCAAAAACACAGATCTGACAAATGAGTAGATTCTCTGAAGAAAGGACTTATTTGAATGCTGATAACAACATACATTCAGCTCCTTTTATGGAAAGGCCACCCAACAAATTGAACAGTAATTAAAATACAGCTTGGATGAAAGTAGACCCAAGCAAATCTGGAACCACATCTGCATATAAAGCTGCATTCTGCGTCTCACAACACATGGAAAACGCCAGCTGTGCTGCTTTCATCCTTCTATTCAAGGTTGTGCTCCGGTCCTTCCCTTCCCACCTTGCTTGATTCCTTCCTTGCCGATCACTTTCTTTCCCTCCTGCCGATCCTTCATCCTCTCTCTACTTTCTCTCCCTTCTTCCCTCCATGACAGTACCTTTGTTGATGGAAAGCAAGGGAGCAAAGTAGGGAAGGGACACGGTGGGGGTTGATATCAGATGTTTTGTTGTTATCTGAGATGGACAGGAAGGACTGTTCTGCTCTATGCACCTTCGGCGATGTCCTTGGCTGAGGAAATGACACTGTGTACGCCCTGCCAGTGGATCCAACAACAGAAAAAAAAGTAGAATCCTCTGAGTTATAAAATAGAATCCTCTCTGAGTTATAAAGTAGAATCCTCTGAGTTATAAAGTAGAATCCTCTCTGAGATATAAAGTAGAATCCTCTGAGTTATAAAGTAGAATCCTCTCTGAGATATAAAGTAGAATCCTCTGAGTTATAAACTGTATAACTCAGAGGCAGTGGTGGGCCATCAGGGCCTGCAAGGCCGTCTCTGCTGGCCTAAACAGAATCACAAAGCTATATCTATTTTAGAATTTTTCTTAAATACACTACATGTATTATAATTTATAAAAACATTTTTCCCATTATCTTATTTTCTCATTGCACAGCTACTGTCTTCCTCAGTTGCTCTGCTTCCAGTGCAGCTTGTTTTAAGTAGAGCTTTTATCCAATCAGATTTCACCTCTGTGTCTCTAGGTAAGAAGAGAGGCCCGAGGCCTTCAGACTCACAAGTGCATCCATGTGCAGTTTAAGTGAATGGGGATGATATTGTTGATTGTCATCGTGTTCAATCAATCAGATCTTTAGTTTGACATGTTGGGCGTATTCTTTGACGTGTCAGAGCCTGCTAGCCGGCCTATAGCTACGTCAGCATTACGTGCAGCTCAGTTTCCATGTGCAGCTCTGCAGTGAGGTACAGCGTGTGCTGCGATTGGTCAGTGGGCGAGCACGTGACTATTGTGAAACGAAACTTAACAGCAGAGGCTTAGTCGGCGTTGTGAATCACATCACGTGATGCAGCTCAGCCAATCAAATATGGGCATTCTGACACGAGTGAGATGTATCACACACCGTGACACAGGGGGCTGAGACGAGGAAAGATATTGCAGAGCAGTACATTCAATGTTCAAGTTGTGAAAGTAAAATCATAAGATTATCACTCTGTGCCACAGCTTGTCATTAAGGAATGATGGTGGGTCCCACAGCCAGACCAGCTGAGAACCACTGTCCTACATGAGCACAGAAAACATATTTTCCTGAATTTAAGCTTCTGCATTTTCCAAGTGCTCTAGTATTAATCAAACGTATTGTAAGCCTCGCACCGAACGGTTTAATACGAATACATACATAGTTTTGGCGCCATCATGTGGTTATAAGGTGGTATTTCAGCTGCAGGACAGCAGTTAAGGCATAGGTATAAAATGCACGGCCCGCCACTGTAAATGAGTCTATCAGATAGGAGTGAAATGTGGTTTTGTCACAGCTGATAAAATACACATGGAATTTAAATGAAAGCAAAAAATAAATTCAGTTCCTTTTTAACTGGAAAAAGATTAAATTGTTTATACAATGATAAGATGGCAACCAAGTAAGTAATTCCAAACATATTTAAATAAATCTGATTTAAATCTATAAAATTCCAAACCAATTTAGTTTGAACCATTTCTCTCTCTCGCTCACACACATCTGAGTACATCTATCTTTGTGAGGACACTCACTTATATACTGCATTAGCCTAACCTGAACCATCACAACTAAATGCCTTGCCCCAACCCTTACCTAATTCTAACCTCAAACAGGCCTTTGGAAAAAGTAAGGACTGGCCAAAATGTCCTCACTCTGAAGGTCTAAAACAGATATGGTCCTCACAAAGATAGATGTACAAGAACACACGCAATGATTTTATTCCACGAACCAGGGCAGTTCTGTGTGTCTTATTTCTATTCATTGATTTTCCACCTTTTGTTTTTTCTGTAATTTAAATGTTATTCTCGTGCCTGAATTACAGTGACATATTTCCATATGAATATTTGTCTTAACCTCAGACATGTTTTTAGTAATTTGCATAATGATACCGTGTTCATGTTTAGGTCTAGATGTAGCAACGCTCGTTTGTAATGGACAGATAATCTAAACAGTAATGACCGTCATCATCACCCCCTAATACAATATCAATAAATACAGAATAAATAATTAATGCAAAAATACAGTTGCTATAGACAGTGAAGTGTGTTTTTACACCGAACAGAGAGACGACCCCAGGATGTCATTTGTTTTTATTCTGTGTTATGTTACATGTGACCATAAACTTACAGGAAGTTATGTAGTTGCCATGGAGATACAGTAAATATATTCACATACTCAGATTGGAAAAAGTGTGTGTGCGGGGTGGGGGTATTGAGGGGGAGGGGGCAGTTGAAATTGACAGTGTGCACACGTTTAGGACAGTCGCTTGTGTGTGATGTCAAGTAACGAGTTGTGGGATAAAATCAGCATTGACCAAATGCTACAAGCAGAAAAAAATGGACATAGACCCACATACTAAAGAGGAATAAATAAAATGTATTATTTTATAGAGACAGCAACAACAACGGACAGCAGAGATGTTTATTTCCCCTCTGAATTTTGGTATGTGAGAGAGCGAGACAGGGCAACGCAGAGGAGTGGTCTCTCTCCTCCCCCCCCCCCCCCCCTCCCTCCCTCTCTCTCTCTCTCTCTCCTGTGGCAGGAATCAGCATCCGGAAAACCTACGGGTGATTTACGATGGCGGTGCTTCCTTGGGGGGGGCGCAGGAGCTGGGTGGGTGGTGAGCTCTGGAGCCGGAGTCAGACTCGTTTCTAAGGCTTCGTATGGCACATCTGCTCGAAAACACTACAGTGACTACAGCCGCCGCCATGGTCCTAATCCAAGTCAGAGTCCAACATATGCAGTTACTCCAGATTATTGCCATCATCATTAGTTCACCTTGAGACTTGGACACTTTGTATGCTCTACACCACACACACCCCCACCGACCTCCTACCACCTCCAATAAACCCCCTATCTACCCCCTCCCCAGTTCGACTCTAGAAGGCACTGGTATATACTTATTTCTCCACATTCTAATATCTGGATTCTCCATTTAAAATGAGCAATCGAGGCAATGAGGATACACAAAAATACACGTACAGATACACACGGGCCAGCCGGGTAACTTACGGGGGTACGGTTGGCTCCCAACGTTGCTCCCAGTCTTTCTTTATACCTGTGTTAGCGTTACAAAGTTTTCATCGCTCAACAGTCTGCTGACGGCGGAGGCAATCGGATATGTAAACGTCGACAAGGCTAACATCATGACAGGCAAAGAGATATACAAAATCAATGTTCACATATGGTCCCCAAGTGTTTTGGATATTTTTTTGAATTGCCTCAATTAGCAGTCCTTTACTTTCATCTTTGGTGGAAAATCCTGACAAACCGTGTGGTAAAAAGGTCAGGTGTGGCTTCTAATTTGGTGCCTTCATCCTCTGTTGGTACTGAAGAATAATTGTTAAAACCAATGTTGGACAGTGCTAAACACAGCCTTGACTTGTTTAGTCCTCATAAGTCATCGTCCCCGTAAGCCTGTACATTTTCAGGGTATTATGTCCGCAATTTTTTCCTGAGTCTTTAAAATGGCAAAATCTTGTTTCTAAAGAGGAAGGCAACAGATTAGAACCACAGTGTACACTCACAAAATTTCCCAAAAAAAACCCTTATATTTTGCGACTACGTGACGAATAACAGCAACGTCTTGAGGCCCTTTGAATAAATTTGCGATTGGAATCAAATTGTGTACCCCACTAATCCATTTTCTTTTTTTGCCAATGTCCATGTGTATCTACAGAGCAGTGGACAGAAAGACACACAAGGTTGAAAAGACTGGCTTGTGCACAGAGCGCAGGAGTTACTGTATTGGGAACCTTGGTGTTGGAACGAGTCATCCCGTTGAGTATTTACACAGTGAACGGGGTCGACTCCTATTCTACACACCGAGTTTGGCTGGTACTTGCGTACATTTGGAATGGTTTACTGTGGTGATAGTAGTAGTTAAAAAAGTCTATCTCCTCCTCCCACCAGTAGCTTACTAAAGTGTCTATACTAGTTATCCTGGTTAACATCTGAGGCGCCAAAGCACTGAAAGCGATGATCGATGCTCTGAATACGACTTTGCCATGAAAGGCGCTGCAGTCAGCAGCTATGGGGAACGTTTAGAGTTTTCGAATCTATGGCTTGGTCTGGAGTCTGTTTTTAATATTGAGAGACCAATCTTTAGATCAGCTAGTCTTTACATATTTTAGATTTTGTCTATGTGCTAGCACAACGTAACCCTGAAATTGAAACTCATTTTGAAGGAATAGCTACGAATTTATTTTGGGAAATACAAATACTCACTTTCTCGCCATAAGTTAGATGAAGCTAAAGAGAACAGCTGCTTAGCTTACCATAAAGACTCTAAACGGAGCCTGGCTCTGTCTATAAGTAACAAAATCAGCCCACCAGTACTTCCTCAAGCTCTCTAATTAACATGTTGTATCTTATTTATTTAATTTGTACAAAATCCAAAGTGCAAAAACGACAAGTTTTTGTTAAATTGCACATAACTCAATGTAAAAACAATGTGTGTTATCAAAAGATATCAAATGTTTTGTTACCTCTGGACAGTGCCAAGCTAGCTTTTTTTCTCTGTTTCCAGTCTTTATGCTAAGCTAAGTTAACCAGCTACTGGTTGTAACATACACACATGAGAGTGGTATCAATCTTCTCATTTAACTCAAAGCAAGAAAGCGAACAAGTGCATTACTTATTATATTCCTTTAACTTGTCACAAGGTGAAAGAAGGCAGATTTCAGACTACCTTAATGAGCCTTGCTGACTTTGATTAAAACGTACTCCCTTTATCTGAAACTAGGGCAGTGGTCACTGTAGCTCATGACAAATCACCAAAAACATATTTTTGACCCTCTTTTGATGCTCCAGACCTCCTCAGAGCAAAGATGTAAAAGTATTTTCATGTCCATTTTTCACAAAGGTTTAACTGATTAAAAACTATATTAATAACACAAATGTGACATTTCCAGTGCATTTGTGCCTTAAGACAAAATACTGTACATAGGGCTAACGTCCTAACCACGCTCCGCGGTCTGTACATGCTACCTACAGCCTACAATGACTTCTTTCTTTCAACATTGATTTAGTATGCAAAAGGTGAAGATTTAATATACAGCAGAAAGTATAGCTTCTGTACCTTTTGACAATGTCACTTGTGTCATTTGTCTTCCCAGTCCATTTCCACACGTGGAAACCCCGGCTCATATCAAAGTATCTAATAATAAAAAAATAAAAGTCACATAGATTGGACCACTTTGTTTTTCTCTCCCTTATCACTGCTTTTTGTTACGAGCAACCAAGCAACGAAACAAAACGATAACAAAAACATTCAAATTAAAAGGTATACTCTTCTTTAATCTGCGTCACCGTATGAGCTATAGTACTCGTCTCCATGTTAAAAGGTTCCCTGTTTGAGGTGAAATGTGATTCACGAAGTAGTTTCACTCCATCGGAAAAACAAAAACAAACGGCTAAAAAAAAAAAAAAAAAAAAGAAAAGAAAATGGCTGCTGTCTTTGCCTCTTACATCAAGGCAAATCAATAAGCTCCAGAGCGGCAGTTGAGACTTCATCAGGACAAAATCTCACCTCCAACTACTTCTTATCGCTGCTCCTCTTCATTTTTGAAATCTGCGGATCTCCCCAGAGTTTCGGAATGGACTGGTTAAAAATCAACACGTTTTATTAAAAAGTCTCTTTTTGTGTGGGAGTCTCCACTTTTACTGGACGTGTGTAGTTGGATTCAATAAAGACAGAGAAGGAGAGAGTCGGAGTTCCTTGTTGTGAGAGGTCAAAGTTCACGTCTCAAAGTCGTGACTTTGAGACTTAATGTTCATTGTGTGTGTGTGTGTGTGTGTGTGTGTGTGTGTGTGGGCATCACTCTCTCTCTCTCCTTGGGGTATGGCTGCTACTTGAAGACATAGTTGATCAGGACCTGAAGGAGGATGAGGAAAACGATGATGATGTAGTCGCGTTGCTGGAGGAAAGAACTGCCCTCCGCCCGGCTGGCCGCACGACTCCGCAGCACGCTGATGTTCCTGCAAACAAACACAGGTTATGGGTAAGATCCTCAAAGAGCAGGCTTAACGGGATGGTGTGACTGATGCCCTTCTCACCTGTTAATGTCCTCCTGCGTCTGCTTTATGGATTCAATGGCACTTTGAAGTTCACTGAGGTCTGCTCCTTTTTTTCTCAGCCGACTGTTATGTTTGCTTTTGTGTCCTGTAACAAAGTGTATTCATCACGGCTTCTACATTTAATCCATTCACCAAATACAATTGAAAGACTTTTGAAAGACCTTTTTGACAACACATACAATGCAATTTAATACATATTTTTAGGGTTGTCTGGGTTAAAAAAATTATAGGGAAAATAAGGCCCACAACTAATAATTAAGTACATGAATTAATTGACATTTATATCACATTTTTGTCTTTTCCAACTGTATATTATATTATAATAAATCAATATAGCCTGGACCCATATAAGCAGCAGAACATCCTGACATCCTGCAACTACATACAAGAAAAAATACACAACTCATATTACTGTAAACGGTAAGAAAGAAAAAATATTCAGGACCTTTGTAAATTAAATCTTTTTTTGGGGGGGAATTGCATTCAGTCAAAATGCCGTATGAGTGTTTTTTAACATTGTTGATTCTAATGTTGGGTATTTACACTTGGACTAAATGAAATATAAGCAAGTTCTACACCATCACCTCCACAAGAAACAACTAACACCACCAGAATGTGCTGTTTACTTACTTAGTCTCAGCCTACTACTAGCAGTCATATGGCCTTCTGCAGATTGGTTAGAAAGTGAAAGCTTTATCGCTGTTTAGATGACATATGACTAGTATTTCAAAAGCAATTATACCGATACAAAAAACGTGAAAATTTAGCTCAGGTTTGACCTAGACATTTTTTACCTGCCTCTATGGCCGTTGTTTCTGCAATAATAATAATGATGTTTAGACCATATGCTGTAGATCAGTATGACCAAATGTTGATTTTTAACATCAAAAAGTATGGTAAAGGTAGATTCACATTAGCTTCTGTGTGTGTGTGAGAGAGCATGACTCACGTTCGCTGCCGGACGAGTCTTGGCGGTCGGGTTCGGGTGAAGAGCAGCCACTCTCTGTGCTCTTGGGCTTATCGCTCTTGTGTTTCCTCTTTGGCACCGTTACCTACACACACGCACGCGCACACGCACACGCACACACACACACACACACACACACTAACTAACATGCTAGTCGGTGTTGACGTGTCAAAGGCATGCAGACATCAGTCAATCACATCCATATTAAACACTCAACAGTGACACAATGAACCAGACCTGCCAAGAGCTGGCTCATTAAAATAATTCAGTTTAACGGGATTAAGCTCTGGTTTATTTAATGTGATGACATTTCTCAGGCCTGGAGTCTTTATCAAGCAAAACAGGTTTTAAAGTTGAGTAAAAGTTGGCAGCACAAAAACATTTCAGATTTTGCCTGACAATAACTAGAAGGTCAAAAGTGTGCGAAGAATATATTAAAAAAAGGAGCTTGGAATACATTTTTATTCTTTTTTTAATTTTTAATTTATAGCTAGAAACATTTTCCCAATCATTCCACTGGTAGTTACGGAAGCTCTATTAGGCAAGTGAGAAGAAAACAATTCTGGGGATTCGTTTTCTCAGTCTGATCTAAATTGTTGTTTCTCTTCTGCGTTTATGATTTAAGAGCAGTTTTAAAAAAAAAAAAAAAAAAAAAAAAAAAAAGGTTTTGGCTGGAGAAAAATAATCTTGCGAGGATAAAAGTTTGTTGTTGTAAAACACGTTTCGGCCACAAGAGGATAAAGTCCACTCCTATTTCATGTTCAAAATTGGACTAAAAGAGTTTTTTCTAGGTTAGATTTAATTTCTCCATGCACTCTTAACACAAGGTACATAAATTGTGTGTTATAATGTTATATCAATTACAATCTTATTTAGAACATGGGGTAGTGGTGCACTTTCAAAATGGATCACCTGAACTTTTTTGTCTCACTTGCCTCTTATGGCTTCCGTAGAAGAACTTCAAAAGCTAAACCAAAGAGCAAAAGTGCCTAAAGCTTGGGCTCTTGGCAGGCGGTTACACTGAACAAACTGTTTCACAAACTCCAAACACATAGGCAGCAGTTGCACAGACTGCACCGCAGCAGCCTTCGGCTTCTCAACACGACACGAACAGCTCAGTAGAAGTTGACACTCGGTGAGCGAACACAGACAAAATGAAGACGAGGACAGGTGAAGGATGGGGAGCGCATGGCGAACGCCCTGAAGCGACCAGGCGTTGATGGCGGTAGTTGGTCTGTCGATGTGATGGATATTCTCTCTTTTAGACTTTGTATGGGAGAAAAACATACTCACTAAATACTGTTATCTTGTGGCGTCACGGTCTTTAAAACATACTTTAAGAATAACATTTAAAACCCTCACATTGGTTAATTATCATTGCACATTGGGAATTTGATTTGGAGCTATAAATGCTGACTCCACTCTCATTGTAAGACATTTTATTGACTGAAATGAAATCAATAAAGATGGTTTCAATGTATATTTTACAAGGTGTGGTCAATGACATTGAACTGAGCATCCTTACAAACATTCTACCAAGTGCTTTAAAAGTGCCTATTGTGTAGAGGTTATTATACTTACTGCAGCTTTAATTTCTCAGAAACTTGACTAATCTTTTACCTCTTGACAAGGCGAGAAAAGGAAGGAGAACACCTGCTCATCCACTTACTTCAGCATGCACTTTGACATAACCTTCCCTCCCATACAGAGAGAACAGCAGGTGCCGGGTGGTTGGAAAAGAACAGACAGGGACAAAGAAAAAGAAGCAGAGGCGACAACGGCGATGGCGGCACGGCGATGGCAGCACAGTGATGACGACACAAAGAGAAGAAGCGACAACGAAGACGGTGCACCGGGTGCTGCGTGGGGGGTGGCTGAGGCACGAGCTGCTATTTTTCTTTTTTTCTTTTTTAAAAATGGCGGTTTTCGATCGGGACGACCTACCTGGCACTTGCAATTGTCCCTCCGCGGCCCCTGGTTACTCAGACTAATAAGACTGCCAGAACGTACCATAGGGGTGCGGTGCCGGACCTTGGTCTGGATACAGCCGTCTTTCTCGAACTGGATCAAGTCGTTGAGCGGGTCCCATGGCCTCGTGCTGGGGAGGGGGCCGAGAGACACAGGGAAGTGAGATGAGACACAGGGGAAGAGAAAACAGTGAGACAGACGTGGGTGAGCCATGGGGAAAAAAAGATGACAGACGAGGAATTACAATAATTATCAAGGGCAGTCTGACAGATCACCTCCGCAGTTATATGGAATCAACACTAGATGGCACCCTGTCCCATTGGTTAACTCCATACAGAAGATGGAGGAGCAAATGGGAGAATACTAAACAGCCTTGTTACAGCACTGATTGTGAGATGAGAGTACAGTACGTCCTAAGACTATCGAAAAGAAAGACTTGGTTTTCAGGTCCTCAAGTGTATTTCCGTAATTCTAATCAAGGTAAATGCACTACATGCCTTTTATCAATATCCCCACTGTCTAAATTTAACATCAGCAATAAGCTGTTGTCACTTTGTTGAATGTTTATTTGTTTAATACTTGTAAGCGAAGCCTGACCAATGACTGGGTAGACTGATAATGCTGTCCGATATTACCTCGACACACAAATTACATCCAATTGGATGAAATAATAATTGCAGTCCATTGATGCCAAATATATGTTTGTGGTAATTTGTGGTAAAAACATTGTCTCCATTATATAGTTTGTCCACTAGAGCGCTCTCACAAGTTTATTTTCATACCAGAAAATGACCCATTCAAATGATTTTGATTGTTTATGTTAAAAAACAAAAATAGGCCAATATATCACTGGTAGATTTTTTCAACGCCTGACTTTTTAAATAATATTTATCGGTATCAATATTAAAAATGTAGTATTGTACTTGTTAGTACCGTAGGCACTCTCCTTTGTTGCAGACAGTTTTAAGCTCCTCCAAATGCATTTATAAATAGTAAACTGTAGTACTGAGGTACAGGCAGTAGATATGAAGGAGCCACTTTGTTATTTCCTGTCAATATACTCAAACCTGATTTCAACCCACATGGGCCCACAGGCAGTAGAGGGAGCCACTCACTCTGCATATCTGTAATGCCACTCTCCGGTGACGGGGTCCTGCTCGAACAGGGCAGGGAACCACTCCTCGCACTTGGCCTTCCGTTCTCGTGCGGACTTCCGCTGAACCTCCTCCAGGATGAACTTCTCATTGGTGGCCTCGGTCTGGTCCTTATTGTTGATGGCCCGCGTCACGTGCTGCCACAGTCTGGGGTGTAATAAAAAGGGGAGTAGTAAAAAAAACTGCACAAGACAACCCTACAACTATATCAAGATGCTAAAAGGGTGAGAGGTGAATTTGGGCACGTAAACTAAACTGAAAGCCAATGACACAAAACAATACGCTGTCATGTTTAAGGTTCTGCTGACACTTTGATAATAACTCAGTCAAAGTCCACCTTTCTGATTCAGAGTCTCCCTGCTCCTCCGGTGGGACGGTGCAACGAGTCAGTCGACTCTGCCTCAGCTCTGTCGTCGGGTTCCAGAAGGTGTCCAGTGTCCCCGTCTTCTTGTCGTTGATGAAGATCTCACTGTCCTGTTGAGGGAACGTCAAAAAAGCTCCCTTTACTTGCTTAGAGATATCGCAAGATGCAAACTACAGCGAAGACTGCAGATCACAAAATGGGCCTAGGCATGCTTGAGCCCTGCAAGTTGCATACATCAGGGTTTATTATATAACAAGAAGTCGTCAGAAACGTATGTGTGGAAAATGTGTCTCACCCAGTGTCCTTCTAGCGTAGCCAACACCTCCTTCCCCAGCTTAATCTTTCCAGAGACCTGATTGACGCAGTCACTGCTGCCCAGGAATGGCTGGAGGAGAGAAAGGAGCAGCAAGGAGGGGAGGGCAAGACGGGTGAGGCAAGAATAGGAAAAGCAAATAAAGAGGAGGAAAGGATAGGTCGGACAAATAGACAGTAAAGTAAGGAGCAGGAGAAGGGAGACAGGACAGCAAGAGAAAAAACAAAACAAAGGTGTAGGATGTGAGGGATGGGAGAGGAAAGAGGACATGAGGGTTTAAAGTGGGGGAGATACATGCACACAGACAGTTTACTTGCTGCAGTTACAGTGGAGAAAAAAAGACTGTGGTTTGGTATAATATGTGTCATTTGATCTACATTTATGTGTCTGTAGTAATTTAAAACAGGATGCTTTCCCATTCAAATATAAAAGAAATGTGGCTGATGGATCAGAACACAACAAGTCATGGAGAACATGCTTTAACTGGAGCTTTAAAAAAAAACAAAAAACGTTTTAACACTACATTTTATAATTTACGCCCAATTTAACAAAAAAAGAAATGAGGTTAACTAACTAATGAAACACTAATTTACTTACTAATGAAAGTAGATCAACTGCATGGTTCCAAATGGTGCACTACATTTAATACTACTAATCTACATGAACTCAAGTTTAAACTGTAACAACGAGAGACACCTATCATTATCTGTATGTGAAAAGGAAATGTATTGATTCCCCGTTAGCTTTCTCTGACATGTACCTGACGCTAGTGATTGCATAATGCAGTTGTTGGTGTGAATGGCGATACGGAGGAGGGGGCGTTTTTCAGGGGGTGGAGAAGGAGTGGCATGGCGGAGTTGGCGATGGTGTGGTGGGGTAAGACATTTAGAAAAGTAACATGAGAAACTGATTTTATTTTTTAAAAACACTCCTGTATCTAGAAAGGCTTTGAGGAGTTCCCTCTCAAAGGGACAGTTTGGTAGTTTTGAAGTGTGGTTGTATGAGGTTCTTCTCCATAGTCAGTGCATTAGAAAACGTTATTTTTAGTTTTCATTAAAAAAGTACACTTAAACTGATATTGATTATTTTAGGTGTCTAAAATATGTCCACAGCAGTACCCATGCTGGTATTCCAAACTACATCTACTGTAGATAATACATTGACTATGGAGAAGTACCTCATACAACCCCACTAAACAACCAAACTATCCCTTTAAGATGTTTATTAGCTCTAAACAGCTTAAAATGTCCTACTCTATTCACAAAGGACTAAAATGATCTGCTACTCTTAAATAAGGATCTTTCTTTTAAACACAGCCATACCTTTAGTTTGAACTCAAGCGTAGCACTGTAGCCCGTTTTCTCACACGCGATGGTGATCTGACCGCCCAGCTCCAGGGTCATGGTGCCATACAGGATGCCTACCAGAAGAAAAAGCACCAACAGGAATTTGAGTCAGCACTGAGGAGCTCAAAGTGGAGCCAAACAACTTGTTCTAGGTAGATCTACAGCTTTCCAAATGAGCAAAGCGAAATTAAAGTAACATGAAAAAAGCCCTACTGAAGTGAGATTGTCTTGTGAGAAATGTCAGGTTGCACTGACCTTTACAGTGAGCATAAGGCATGTTCATCACGTAGTCCTCTCCTCTGTTGAGAAAAGTCAGCCGAGCCTCCCCGTCCAATATGGCCGACAGGGAGTTTCCTGCAATGTAAAGCACAGCAGTCAGTTGACAGATGTGCGGACACAATGAAGACAAAGTAAAGCAGTGGAATAAATATTGTTACTATTTAAGGTGCCTTTAGTTGTTTTAGTTGTGTGAGTGTACCATAGAACTTGGACTTGGCGAGGATGCTGCCACTGAGGCAGAATCCGTCCTTCCTGTTGCTGACATAGAAAGCTGACACAGGAGGATGATGAGATACCTGAGGAAAAACACACTGATGTTGTGGGACTGAATGCTAATAATATAAACATACAAGATAACTTATTTGATTTTAAATCAGCCAAAACAATAACCACTAGATTTATCTCATCACAGATTGTCAATGTAGTCCAATCGCCTTGTACTATGCGAGTTATCTGATAAAGTTGGAATGAGCTTGAGACCAATCAGATTGCTAGTAGTTAGTACTCTACGGCAGTGGTCCCCAACCACCGGGCCGTAGATCATTTGGTACTGGGCCGCACAGAAAGAATAAATATTATATTATTTCCGTTTTATTGATTATCAGAGTCTGAAAGAAGTTTTATTTTGAAAAATGACTGGATTCTCTCGCAATTTCATCCGCCTGTGTCTCTTGACATTTCAAGACGCTTGTCTCGGTCACGTGATACGTTACCTCAAAGATTAAGCCCACAAGCTTGCGAAAATGAGTAAATAACTTTTGGAGAGCTTCTTTGTAAAGAGGGAAAAGCCACCAAGGAGACAGAAGAAGAGCCTACAACTTCGAAGAAAATGAAAGCTTCATTTAACAGACAACATCAGGAGTCTAATTAAATATCAGGAGTAATTCTGATGCGCCAAGCCCGCTCTGCAGAATATGTGGCGACAGAGGAAGATCAGCTGCTGGAGATTGTAAATGACGGTGGCCTTAAAATTATGTTTGAGACAACAACTCTGCTGGTGTTTTGGATTAATATCAAGGCTGAATATCCCGAGATCGCCACTAAAGCACTGAAAACTCTGCTTCCATTTCCAACATCCTCTTTGTGAAGCGGGATTTTCTGCAGTGACAGCAATCAAAACTAAATGACTAAGTAGACTGGACATCAGGAACAGACTGCGGGTGTCATTGTCTCCCATTACCCCCAGATGGGACAGTCTCGTTGCAGAGAAACAAGCTCAGGGCTCCCACTGATTCAGCGTTATTGTGAGTTGTATTTATTTATGCATTTTATATTTGTTTTCATGCCGATCGTATCATTTTATTTCGTTGTGTTTTTCCGCCACACCTTGAAGGCCGGTCCGTGAAAATATTGTCTTACATGAAACCGGTCCGTGGTGCAAAAAAGGTTGGGGACCACTGCTCTACAGGGTAGTGCTAGTAGGGCAGTTGTTACCTGTTCTGCTATGTAGAAGGTCTTGCTGTTGGTCTTCTGGTGGAGCCACATGCAGCGGTACTTCTCTCCAATAATGGGGTTATAAGGCTTCTTCAACCCCTGTGGATCAAAAACCAACATGAGATCTAACTTTAGTACAATAGATTCTATATACAGTAGAAAGCATGTCAACTCTATGGAAGCCCTTTTCCACCAATGAGATGAGGAAAAAAAAGATTCACTCAATCATTATAATGAGGTTCTTTCTCAAAAATGACGTCTTCATCTTTCAAAATACAGAGCATCTTTCATTATTTTGAAAAAGTTTCTTATTATTATGACCTACTAAATATTATTTTGAGACACTAAGCCATTATTTTGACATCATTCATTCATTCATTCAGTCATTATTTTGAGATACAAAGTCACTATTTTGAGATACGTAGTCATTATTATGAGATACTAAGTGGTAATTTGAAAAAAGTAAGTCATTATTTTGTGAAAGTTTCTCATTATTGTGCGATACTAAGCCTACTAAGTCCTTTTGATAACTTATAATGACTTACAGGATCATTTTTGTTTCATAACAAGGCTAGGTTTTGATCTTATATTTTTCTTTGACAAGTGGAAATGGGCTTATGTAATACTCTATGAAGCTCATTCACATGAAGTGGGTTGTGCGTGTTCATTCTCCTGACCTTTGGCTTTTTATAAAATCCAGAGATGTACCACTTCACCACCTTCTTCATCCGGTTGTAAGCGTTCTCTTCGATTGCAGCCCTGAGAATGAAACCTCATTTGTAAAATGATAAGAGCTTCACTTCTAGACTTTAGAAGCAGAAAGTGTGACGGTCTTACTCTGACAGGAAGTCTGCGTGGTAGTAGTAGTCAGACAGTTTGTCCAGAAATGACCTTGGCTCCAGGATGAAGGTGGGCAGCACCACTTTGGACAGATCCATGCCGGGTCGCACCTGTTTCAGCAGAGTCCAGATCAGAGATTTATTCTCCTCTGAGACCGTCTCTGTCTGGGCGGCCTCGCCAGCCTGGAGAAGGAGACACAAACAAGGGTAAAGAGGTTATGTATTTTTCTACTGCACACATCTTAAAATGCTTGCACGGGTCTCCACGAGCTTAATCCTGAAACCTGAGAAATCCTGTGAGAATGTGGTGCAATGCAGCAATCTCATGATCTATGCGTCTTATCAAAAGCTCCCCGACCTCTCCAAGTTCCTCATGGGACTGTTCCAGGTATGGGGTTTCCCGCAGATGCTCGTTAGGGTCCAGGTCGATGTAGGAGTCGTCCTGCCGCTCTGACGTGTCGCTGTCACTCTCCTCACTCTTTTCCAGGCCTTCTGGGTCGGACTCCTCGTGGTCCTGTTCACCCTCCCTGTCGGACTTGTCTGAGTACAGGTCAGGGTCTTTCAAATGGTCACTGTCGTTGAACCTGGAGGAAGGGGCGGATCGGGTGGCAGGATGTTTACGAAAAATAATAATACATTTGAAGACGAGCTGGCAAAAGTATAAAGTATAAGTATAAAAGTCGAAGGGGAATAGTGTAGCTTCGGTTTTATTTCCTACTTACTGAAAACCGTGAATGTTGTGGGCTCTGAGGAGGCTGTAGAAATTGATGGAGTGTTCTCCGCCTGTGGCTACTGTGCTCATGTCCTCTTTCCCCTCGCGGATCATGGTCCTCTTCAGCAGGCCGGAGCACTTCAGGGCCAGTTCTAAGGCGTCCATCCAGCATCGACCTGGGAAAGAGATTCAGAGACATCCGCATATATTTTCAGACTTTACTGTTAGTTCATCATCCTCCTCCTCCTCCTCCTCCTCTTAATATGGAGCAAATATAATTGGGTCAAAAGTTTTTTTTAAATGATTTTGTCTCTTCTACCCGAAGTCACCCCCGATCCCATTTTAGGTTTGGTTCAAGACAAGCAACATTTTAAAATCCTTCTCATTTTAATATTTGCATAGTTACAGAAGGCAAACTATATTGTCACTGCGATAAAAAACAGAAAGGGCTGACTTTTATTCAGAAATAGAAGCATTCTTGTTGGATGAAAACTTGCTTGGATAAGTTATTGATGGTATTTTTTTAATATATAATGCATAAAACCTATACTATTATAAATATTGTGCATTAGGGTAGAAAACGGCAAGTGTTTTTGGAAACTGTAAAACTATTCCAGCACCACGGAGGGAGACCCAGACAGGGAGAGACTAGATCGGATGTTTCAGCACCATGGACAGAGGCACAGAGCAAAATGGGCCACTAGTTCCCCATTCACTCATTGTGTGAGTTTTGCCCCATTTAGCAGACCTATCTAATCTAAAAAAAAAAGTGTTTTCCTCCATATCATTCAAGTATTGTTAATTACCATTACCAGTATTGGGGAAAGATTAAGTATAAGTTGAAATAACAATAATGAAAAAAAGATAGTTTAGCAAGACAGTATGAGAGCACTCTGCTGATTGTACCCACATAAATCATATCCATTGTAATTTAGCACCACTTTACATTCCCCCCACCCCGCGTTCATTGATTCCCCAAATGCAGTGGTGTTGATCTTTATTCCTAACTATCTGCGAAAAAAGCCAATAACGTATTTCCCAAAATGGCAAATTATTCCTTTGAGATTTAAAACGAAATGAGAAGAAATTACCTTCGGCTTTACACTGCTGAGTAAAGTTAGCACCGTTTAAAGAGAGTGACTGAAAAGTCACAGGTTTGTTTTTCGGCTATCCAAATGACCTAGAAATCCCCTGGTCACTCAGTAGAGAGTATTAGTATGGCTTTCTGATGCCCATGTGAATACCTGATATTTTCCCACAAATATCGTAGGTGTGAAAGAAATGCTTATATTAAGATAATGAATTGGGCTAAAAATAACAAGGATTAGGGTTTCTTTCATTTCCACATACAGCCAAATACTGCACGTAAAAGTACTTTTGAACCAAAACTAATATTGATTTTACGTAGCTGATATAAAAAGTCAATGGATTTATGTTTCTTTCAATGTAAGTTGCTGCTGACACGACTCAGACAAATGGCTGCAGTGTGATTGGCAGCCTGTCTCTTACCATCAGACTCAGAGGTAGCTCGGAAGATGAGGTGGCTGCTGGGTAATGGCTGAGTGATGGAGCCGACTGCTTCTCCTTTAGGACCCTGGCAGCAAGAAAGAAAGGGAGAGAATACATCAACTTTAGTGTTTAAGTTTCAGGTAGGTGTTGCGTTTGATCTCGGTCTCTTCTCATTTGAGGCGGTTTGAGTTGTGGTGTCCTCGTTTCACCTTCAGAGTTTGTGTATCATTTCTTTCAGGTCGTCATTGTTCGTGTGTGCAAACAGAGAAAATGTCGACTCCCTGGTGTGTCGTTATAATAATGAGCTATGAGAGGGGGTACAGGAGCTGAATGAATGAAGTGTTTATCTCTAAAGTGAAGGGGGGGGGGGGGATGCGGAGAGCAGGACCGCTGTAATCTAAAAACACAGATTGCCAATTGTGATTCAAGCCTTCTCACTGCACAGACACAAGGGAAAAGACTGGCAGGGCGAGGTCAGCGATGAATACCAAATCACAGTTGGAGTGCTGACTGAGCGGAGAACTGAGGAACAAATGGAAAATGTGTGCCGCCAAATATGAAAATTGCTGGCAGTATGTATAATTTTCTGTGTCTGTCCTGAAATTAAAGCAAAGATGAGCTCTTAATTATACAGCTAACATCCACATCTGTTTAACTATCTATTTTTCTTAACTGCAGCCGAGGATTTTGTTTTTAATGAAAGATCGTTTCCCCTGATCTGTTTGTGTTCATTTTGTTTTTCATCGCTGGAGAGCAAAGCAGGCGGCATTCAGATCCATCCTGCATAATAAACCCTGTTCAGTATTCTGCTCCTCTCGCTTTCCCCTGATCAATCTATTATTAATTATATTATAACAGGACGATAAGGTCAGAGGCATTTTTTCGGGAATATATGTCAGATTTAAAGGAATAGTACAATAATACACTTATTTGTTGAGAGTTGGGTAAGAAGATTGATGCCACTCTCATGTTTGTATGGTAAATATGAAGCTACAGCCAGCAGCCGCTTAGCTTAGCTTAGCATAAAGACTGGAAACGGGGGAAAAAACTAGCCTGGCTCTGTCCAAATGTAGCAAAATCCAAAGACAAAACGTTACATGGAAGACTATTTCCACCAGGAAGTGACAGCACCAGCCTGGCCAAGATATAATCAGGCACAGAACCGTCATAAGACCGTAAATGATCATTTTCTACACTTTTGTACGGATGAAAGGAAAGTTAGTGATCTTTGGAGGTGCTGGTCGGTGGACTTTGTGACCTTTGGACAAACTCAGGTGAGCTGTTATCCCCTGGTTACCAGTGCTAAGCTAAGTGGCTCCTGACAGTAGCCCTATTTTTACCGTACAGACATGAAAATGGTTTCAAACTTTGCATCAAACTCTCAGCAATTATTTCCCAAAATGTCAAACTATTCCTTGATTTCTTACATTGTACAGTGAAGAGTAGACGGGTATGAATGACACTAAAATTCTCCTTAGTATTTTTAACCCCACCGGCCAGATAGTTTGTTACACTGAACCATCTGAGAAAACTTCATTGGAAACTGTTCAGAAAAGAGCAGGCTATCAAAAAAACTTTGCAGGTGATTGGTTGAACCATCTGTCAATGATTACAGAAGCCAATTGAGAGTGAAGAGATCTTTTCCATGGAGAAAAGCCTTCAGTGCTGTTTTTTTCAATAAGAAATACTCTCCAGTTTTGATAGAACTGATGCTGTTGCAGCATCTACGCTAACCTTTTCCAGAGTCGCCATAGTTGTTCAGAATGAACAGTGGCCTCTCCATGTCGTCATATACACCTAAACCCCTCCCATTTCTGCCAGTGGCTCCTTACAGGCCACTGATTGGTCTGGTCACTGGCTTACCGTAACACAAACATATTACTTATTTTTAGTTTAGTTTATTTATTTTGCACAATTCAAACAATAAAATTAAAAATAAACAAACATAACAGAGATAAATGAATATCACAGTGCAGGAAGAGGCAAAAAGCCAACTGGGCTTATTTGAAGCCTCCACCTATATAATATTAAAATTTTACAAAATTACAAACAACATAAAATGAAATATGCATAGGATATTACTTTACAAACAAAATTTATCTTTTTTATTATATATTTTATCAGGGAGCCAAATTTCACTCACCACTTGCTTCATTTTTGCATTTACTATTCTATTTAATCCTTCACACGCCTTTCATTTATTCACAAGTACTGTTGACTCTGTTCAATGGCTGACACGTCTAGTCTTTGCTCCACTGACTACCTTTTTAAACTTCTTACGGTAGTTTCAGAGCACTTATTCAATAAAAGTTGCGACATTTTTTGGGGGGGGATGTTCTTGGGATATTTGCCATTTGTAAAAATCCCCTATACATCCCAAAATTCCCAGAGAATTTCTGCTCTCCCAATTTTCCCAGCCTGGAATGTGCTCCTTATGTTCCTGAGAGTCACTCCTGGCTGAGAATCCTGTCTCTTAAAGCAGTTAAATACTGACCTTGACGGCCCAGATGGACTGCTCCAGCGGGTGGAAGAGCTTGAAGCAGAAGCCGTCCTTCTTGGAGGGCCTCTCGATCAGCTCGCAGGCATTGAGCAGCACCGTTCCCACCCACTGGCCGTTTTTGTGGGTTTTATAGATGAGCAGGACGCCCGGTTTCAGCACGCACCACAGCTTGGTCCAGCTCTTCAGAGTGCCACGGATCTGGATCAAACACCGATAAGTCAGAAGTGTTATCCTATATCAGGAGCTTGAGGATTCAAATTAACCAATAAAGAAATGCCTTTAATCGTATAATTATATTATAACCATAGTCTATTGGACAATCGACAAATAGGCATCGGCAGCAGGAAAGATTGACGGTGGGGCGGAGGGGGTTCCCACCTTTAGCCAGTCGGCCATGACGATGACAGAGGGGTCAGTGATGGTGCTGAGCAGCTCCTTGGTCGCTCTCTTCTTTTCTTCCCTGTAGTTTTTCTTCTGCACCTACAGGGAGCACAGACAGGAGGACAATGCTGACAACATCAATTCCACACAACTGTGAATATTCATATTCCACAATGGCATTCTCACTGAATCAGATTTGGCAGCAAATAACAGGACTGGGATGACACTCCTCGGCGTTCTTGTTAAATAACAGCTGGTACCTTCTGACTGCAGCGTGAACTGTGCATTTCATACCCCCTTTGGCTGTAATAATTCCAGCCTATCCTGTATTGTGGTGACGTTGGTGCATAATATGAAAATGACACCTATCTAAATGAAGTATTTTATGCATATTGACTCTTATAGAGGTATTTTAAGACTCATTATGCCTGCCTTCGTGTCGGGATACACAGAACTTACTCTAAGCTGATTTAGCTCACTCACCTTGAGGGACTCCTTCTTGGTGAGCTTTCCTCCGGATGCCGACAATTCTTTGTCTGAGCCATTGTACAGCTTTGTCTCAGACTGAACACGGGGGGGGGGGGGGGAGAGAGAGAGAAGGGTTTATTAGCAGGAAATGATACCTGATTAATCAAGACACCTCTATTATTTCTCAACTTAATTATCTTGAAATATTAAATAAACCTAACCCAAATTTAGCTCAGTTAGCAGAATGAAGCCTATAAACGCCCGTGCAGGTGTGTCTCTGCCAGCTCCTTTCACAAGCCAACTGGAGCGATTTAAAGTGGAGAGACAGACTGTGGGGGGGTGTATAGGAATCCTTAAGCAGGGCTACTTGGTCTTAAGCGGCCACAGACATGGCTGGACAAAGATTGAAGGTGCATCATAACAAGCACCAAAGCTAAAATCTTCTCTTTCAAATCCTTCTACTGAGAAACCCACAGTGAGGTTTCTAATTGGCTGAGACTGCATTTATTGCTGTGAAGATTGATGGATACATGGCCAAGACTCAATTCTGCTTCTCCATAGCTTTGCTATGATGGTGGATGTTATTGACAGCAGAATCTAAGGATTAATTGGAGTGGGAAAAAAAAAAAACCTGTCTTGGTTTTGGGAAGCCTTGCTCTTTCATACTTCACAAAATCAGAGCACATTTTTGAAAGGATTCCCTTCTCCGCTGTGACTCAGACGAAGACTCAAACTCCCACGTTTCTAACTGACAAACATATTTGATGTGGGCCTCGACAGATAAACTAGACGGGCCTCCTCCACACTGAGCTCACTTGAAAGGAGGGCTGAGTTTGAATTCTAGTTGATAAATGTTTGATGTGTAACAGTGTACATGGTGCGTGAGTCATCGGAACGTGGGCTATGTCACGCCTGAGGCGAGACTGGTAGAGGAGACGTGCAGTAATTCCCATACTCTCTGGTCTCGTTACAACAAAACCAAACACACAGTCGCTCCCACCCACCAGTCATGGAACTTCATCTCAGTGGGGTGATTTGTCCTTACCTTGCTCTTAGATATGGAATGTGAGTCCTCTTTCAAGGACAGAGGCAAGAGATCCTCCTTCCCTCTTTCGAAACCTGGAACAAAATTAAAAAAATAAATAAATAAAAAATAAAAAATAAAAAAATCACAACAGCATAAAGACTCAGTCCACCATCATTCTCCAGGTAACCTACAGTATCCCATTCCAGGGGACGACTAATCGCTGTGCTATGGACGGGCCCCAGGGGGCCATGGCCGCCTGTCTCGTGGTTAGGTATCGATACTGATTTTGTCTCAGGGACCTTAATGAAATGGCAGTTTATGTCGTATTTGGGTCCTCCAGCGCAGTGGGTAGGCCGAGGCTGATGGAAGATTTATCATATCAATGTTAATTTATTGTGTTTTTAATGACGTTTTATGACATTACAAAAATCTGCGATATTTATATTAACTAGGTTTCATGTTAATTTAAACTATCTTTTTTAAAATTAAAATGGGCTTTTATTTTAATCAATTTCTTACACTTAAAAGACTAATTGATTTATAGTTATTTAAAGATTTAAATGAAAGAACAAATAATGCTTTTTAGCTTTTAAAAGGTGCAACGTGTAAGGTCTGGCCAGAATTTTAGTTTGTAACACTATCAACAGAATGTGACAGGGTTGACGTCAAAGACGTCTATGTATTGTGTTGCAGGGTAACCAGCTAGCCGAGGCCCGTCCTGTATTGTAATACCACTTGTACCACGAGAGGTGATAGTGAGTCACTGTAGCGTCCAGTCTGCCAGAAGTAGAGCTGCCTGAGGGCTCTTCCATCACATTGAAGGTACAGCTTGATGCTGAACTCCCAATGATGGCTATTTAGCGGAAAAAATCTTTAGTGCAACTAATGACAACACAAACCGTACCGAATGGCGTTGATAAACAGTTTTGATGTGGCTGTTTTTATATTTAAACCGAGCTAAACAAGCTCATGTAAACTACAGGCCAATTGGTGAGATTATCTGCCCATTGGATATCTAATGTCTTTGAAAGCGGGGCTTATCGATTCCAAATGTCTGTGCAGACAAATGCAATCTCTTTACATAATGTCAGCCGCGGTCACGAGAGCAGGCTGTGCTTCATAGCAACTCGTCGCAAGCCACAGAATGTGGAAGACAACGAGCTGCTGCAAGTCCTTAATCTGAACTGAGCTAAAGTTAGATAACTTGGCTGGTGAAAGGAGATTCCCTGTTTTAATCCATAGTTTCGCTGGGACAATCTGGGGGGTAGAGAGCGAAGGAGACTTCATTTGATTTAATAAAACATCTTTGTGTCTGTAGTTATATAACTAGGCATCCTTTTTATGTATTCTTACTGCATACTTTAATGTTGTCCCACAGACATATATACATATATATATACACACATATATGTATATACATATATATATACACACATATATATA